GCCGGACATAACGCGGTCCATGTTGCTCTGAGCATTGGCAGGCGCCACGTCTGCCCATGGCGTAGTCGTCACTTCGCTGCTATCCGCCATGGTACTCCTATCCTCAAAACAACGAAGGAGAGCGAGGAGGAGGAAGCAGTACTGCAGCTACCAACTCCGCCGATGCCGCCCCCGTCGCCGCTGCTCGCATACAACCTGTGAAACAGAGTGCAAATACGTGAACACAAGGAAGGAGATTGACTAGATTACCTGTTGCTGCTTCGCTTGCAAAAACACAAGGGAAACAAGAAGGACCAGAGCAGCTCCCCCTGCGTGAGAAAAAGGAGTATTGCTGATGACACAACCAGCGGAAAAGCGTGGAGTACTGGGGTTGAGGTACGGGCGAAGAGAACACAACAAGGACAGAAGTTTGTGGGGTGTCATGCCACTGATTGTATGTGAACAGACAGCACGAGCACAGGAGGCAAAAGCGGGCTGTATATACTAAGACGTCAACCATGAATCCTACAGCCGAATGGGAGACGCAAGTGGAATTAAGAGAGATGTGAATTTGACAACAAGAAAACCTGAACTATAAACACAGAAGATAACGCAAGAACTCACAATTACGGAGAAAGCAACGATGACAATTACAAAGAAACGGGACAGACAAACGGGGATGGAAAACGCGGTCGGGAATGCAATCCGTGATGAAGAACATTGGCAGGAACGCAGCAGGAATAGCAAGCACAACTAAAAACCACAGGTTCTTTGTGAAGTCAATCAACTGACTCAAGGAGGAAGTATCACTGGGAGTTGAGAGTAACCCCATCTCTCTCTCTCTCTCTCTCTCTCTCTCTCTCTCTCTCTCTCTCTCTCTCTCTCTGTGTGTGTCTGTGTGTGTGTCTGTGTGTGTGTGTGTGTGTGTGTGCGTGTGTGCGTGTGTGTGCGTATGTGCGTGTGTGTGCGTGTGTGCGCGCCACACAAAGGACCGAGCTGGCGATGAGGATTAGGAGGAGAACGACGAGGAGGAGGTGGGACAAGGACGAAGGGTTCACGGGCAGAAAGAGGATGAGGAGGAGGACGACGATGAGCGGAGAGCGTTAAGAAGAGGACAATGAGGACCTGGGACGCCTCTACCTCGCCTCTGTCGACCGGCTCTCTCTCTCTCTCCCCCCCCCCTTCCTGCTCGCTTTCTTTCTCTTTCGTTCTCCATTCCCTCCCTTCCGCCTACTTTTTCAATTCGTGCCCTTCATTCCCCCTCCCGAGGTTGCCCCCACCAATCTTTCCCCGTCCTCTTCCCTCCTCGTCCTGTCTCATGCCTCCCTGTTACCGTCTTTCCCCACCCGTTTCTCTCCTCCGCTGGGATCTTATTCGAGCCCCTACTCCAAATACTCGACGTGGCCCCTACGGATCCAGTATGCCCTTTCCTCGCCTTCTCTGTCTGCCGCTCTTCTCTCTTCAATCTGTCTCTTATACACATCTAGATGTGTATAAGAGACAGTCTCAGGGGGGGGAAACGCAACCCTGACGGGCTGCGAACTCACCCAGGCTGAAAAACTGTCTCGCCAGCCCGGCCAGTACCACTGCCTTGGCCGGTGACGGTATAAGTCACAAGGGCCTGGCCTGCGACGACAGCTTGCGAAGTTTTTCGAGCAGCGCCCTCCAGTCCGCGCCCGCTCGCAGCACTCATCGCATATGCAAACCTGTGCAGGAGCACAAGGGTCAGGGGTTCAGAGAGAGTAGGAGTGTGCAGACGCGCAGTTTTGAGGCGCATGTGATGGTTTTTTCCATTTTTGATTAAATCAGGATTAAAAGATATTTCCTTTGGTTGGTACGTTGATTGTGTCGTGCGTGCGCACGGAGGCGGCTTGCCGTAACCGGAGTGCGGATGGCGGCTTGCCATAACCGGAATGCGGATGGCGGCTTGCCGTAACCAGAGTGCGGATGACTATCGATGCCACAGAGGTGGCTATTTTAGAATTTTTATTTTCAGCAACCTCGACGATGGTACGCGCAAACAGAGGTTAGCTTAGACACAACTTGATCACCCTCCACTAGAATGGTAAAGGTGTGGCTTTGGAGTGACGAATGATGCGTACAGCGGCTATGGGCGACACCAAGCCTTTGTGCGGCAATTACCGGTGTCCGGCGGCCGTGGGTACGGCCGTGGGTACGGTCGGCAAGCAAGGAAGTCCGGCGGCAGTGGGTACGGTAGGGCCGCGAGCCGCGCAACACCTACTTATATAGGATTGCACGACTATTTATATCAGCCTTGGGCTTAGAGCTATTGGTTATGGCATTGACTTTTAAGACAGAGGTACAGGGATCGAGGTCAGTAATCGATGACAATGGAGCGCCGAAACATCTTGAAGGAACCGAGGGGTAAAAGGTCTGGCCGGACCATCCTTCTCATGTTTGTTGATGACCCTGATCATTAAGTCGAGGGGGTGCCAACGTTCCAACCCCCATTTTCCCCTTCTTCTTTTCTTATTCGCTCCTCGCTTTTATTTTTATTTTTATTTTTTTTACTCAAGTCCTATTTTATGGGACATCGTACCTGTCCGGTACTGGTTTCGGAACCGGTGTAGAGACCAGCTGGTGTAACTCAGTTGGCACACCTACGAATTGTTGCATATGCCTGTGTTCGAATCCAGGTGATATAACTTTATGAATAAAACCAATTGTTAATGAATCACGTGGGGCCGGTCAACTCAATGACATATCTCAAGGTTGCAGGCCTTAGCTTGGTCCTTCAGGACATCCGTTAAAATCCGAATGATACATAGAAAATTAGCAAGGTTCTTGTGTGTTCAGGGTGTGGGCGAGGCTCCACTACCTGCCCGTCCTGACACGTGGGCCGTGGAACTCAACGTGCATGTAAGGCAGGTGGGTGCCTAGCCCACGTGGTGGAAGAAACCCGAATGGCGGTGTCGGGGCAAATACCCTGACAAGGGTATTTGCCGGGGGTTTTCAACGTCGGACGTTGTCCTACTCTTTCGCGAGATTGAAGGGCTTGATGAGATTCACGTTGCCAAATGTTTATTCAGACCTGATCGCTGACTGAGAGACTTAAAGATTTTAGAACCCTAGTCCGGACGCCTGCGGCGTTCGAGAGTAATGGCAATACCCGGCAGTGTTTCGCTTTGTCGAGGCCGTAGGGGCGTGCGGGTGTTGAGGTACTAAGGTTAGGCCTATTCTACCTAAAATAATGTCAGCCGCGCGATTCAGGGCCTAAGTAGGCTAAAAAGAGGAGTGCGCCGGGTATAGGACCACGGCGCGGAGGGAATAGGTAGAAGGGGTTTTATTTCCTGAGCCGCGAGGGTTGACACCAAGCCAGGGGGTTGATAGGCCGATGCCGAGGTCACGCGGCCAACCGATGGGGCAGGACCTGCCAGCAAGCCTATTAGGCTTCAGGCAGGCAAGATCTGCAAAGCCTGAAGCAGGCGAGGCAGTTGGGCCACAGGCAGGCAGGGCCTGCAAGGCCTCAGGCCAGGCGCAAGGCCACGAGCAGGCAGGGTCTGCAAGGCCACCGGTAGGGGGGCGATAGCTACTGGGCAAACTCTTCTTATAGAAGAGTTGCTCCTACTACGTCTAGTACTATGGTAGGAGCTAGCCAGTAGGTACCGGTACGTGACTGTTACCCCACTGATATGGGGATCGAACCTGACCAGTTGTGCTACCGGGCTAGCTCCTTTTGGAGCAGCCCACTATGCTAGGGGCAGTTGGGCGCTGTCGGTATGAATACCCTTATAAGGATATCGCCCTGGTTTTTTGCAAGCAACAGAAAATAGGTTAAAGTTTAAAATTAAGTATTTCGCGCGAGGCGCAGCTGTGTCTGTGGTCTACATCGACTGGACGGTTGACTAGGGTAGAAAGTGTGTGGGCGCGCATGCCTTTGAGGAGCGCGTGATTATTTTAATTATTGATGATTGTGAAAACCAGCGCGATCGGCGGTCAGGGTTATTTCTGATTAAACTAGGATTAAAAAAGATTTTGTCTCGTGATTGGTGTGCTTTTTTGTGACTTGTGCGCCAACAACAAATGGATTTTGAAAATTCTTCTGTGGATCCGCACGTCACGCAGTAGTCATCCATATAGGCGTCCGACAATTCTAGACCCAGCCTTGGGCCTAACATTGGCAGATATGGCTTCGGACTTTCACTCAGGAGATGTAAGGGTCAAAATCGAGTGGCGACGACACACGAATATCAGAGTAGCGTAGAGGCCCAGCGTGGCTATTCCCTTTGGGGCGGAAAGTGTCTGAGTGGCCTGCATCATAGCGGGTGCACGGCTGCCGGCTGCGAATTGTTGTAAAAAGCTTGAGTGTGATTGCGCCATTGAGACCCCAAACGCGGCAAGCCGTGCCCAGGTAGGAGGGTTCAAGGCGCAGCAACAGGGGGCGTCGCCTAGGCACCATGGCCAGCCGTGAGGGACCCTCTTTACTTGGGTCTTAAAAGTTCTCAAAAATATTTGGCCCCTAAGACCTGTACTGGGCCAGTCCTCCTAGGCCATGCTCAGGCCTTGCAACGGGGCAATGCTTTCGGCTTTCTGATTGGCTGTGTATTTGGGGGCCTGGCGGGTGAGTGGGCCGTTCCTGGCGTTAGGTTGCAGCGGTCCTGGGCCGAAACCAGCAGGCATAGTAGCAGGCCGCGTTCTCCTGAGCGTTGTATCGTCGGGCTGACCCAGACAATCGAAACGTGGGTTGTACGTCGTGGTGTTGCGTATTATCGGACAGGACAACTCGAAAATGAGTTCGTTCCTTGGGTAAAGTTCGGTATCCACGACCTCCGCCCCACTATCTGATATCGGTCGGAGGAGTGTTATCTGAACTAGCGCGCAGTTCGGCAAGGAGACGGGTATTGGAAAGAGAAGGCAACTAAGGAGACTGTGATGAAGATAGAGAGGGCGGTGAGCTACGCTATGCGAGGAGGGGAACGACGGTGAAGGAACTGCGAAGCACTTTGTTAGCAGTAGCGAACGAAGTAAGCAGCGAGAATCACAAAAAGTGAAGGAGATAGCGAGCATTAGTATGAGGCAAGACGAAGACAAGAAAAAAGAATGAATCAGGGCGCATTTTTTGGGCCAGGTTTATTCGGAGAAAGAAGAAAAGCGATGAAGGAGGGATGAAAACGGGAAGTGCATGACAACCTCGATCCTTAACGGATTTCGGTAAACGAAAGGCCGAACTCGAGGTATTGGGCCAGGGCGAATCC